ATGAGGAAGGTGTCGTTAGATGTAGGGTCTATGTTCCAGCCCGTCTGATTACCTCATAGTAGGCGGAGGAAATTCAAAATGACTTCGTTTCAATATACAAAATGATTGAATGAAAAATCATGTATTAGTACCCTCCAAGAACAAACAACTGGCGCACGGAAAAAAAAAATTAAAACAAAAAAGGTGCTGAAAGACATAGGATACCCTACGATGTCAGTGAAACGGCTGATCAGACAACTTGTTAAAAACAATACTCTTCACGAGTGAAAACCGCAAAACTTCGCCGTTTTTACAAAGGCAGAGGAAGCATGAAATGGTTTCTTGGAAGCGATTATAGCGTAGGATCCATTTAATATTTAAGGTACATTATGTTGGTAACTATTTGCCTACGTAAAGACCAACCTACAGCACCCCATTTGCACTCCGTGGGCGAATGCAAACAGTCTTGGGGTTACGGTAATCGCTTGCAGTGTGCAATTACACGGCTACCCTTCGTGTATTTACGTAACATCATTCCCAAAGGCATATTCTCGATAGTTTTGATTTGCTGGTTCAGTTCATTCTTTAGTCGCATCTCCTTTGTTAGTTGTTGCTTGTTAAACTTCAACTCTTGTACCTTCGTTTTGTGTCCATTTGACCACTGCTATAGGCTGTGATTTCGAATCTCATTTCGTATTTTTGTTGGTTTGGATTTAGCCGTTTAGTGCAGGAACGACGGTAGAAAAAGGGTGCAAGGGAGTTCTGAGTTGGTCCAGCAAGGGTTTCTGTCAACAAGAAAGGCACCAAGTTTTGTCCTGCAGTTCATAATATTCTGTTCTTCGCTTGTTTGGAATCATGGAAAATCTAATTTTAGCCCAGCGATAAACAATATTTGTGGTATTTTTGCAGTTATAGCTTTTCAAGTGCTAATGTATAGACTTCGTTTAAGGTTTCTTTTTGATTCTAATGGTGATTTCATGTTATTTAATCAGTTTACTTTATGATATAACATGATGTCAATACCTAGTGATATAATATCATATACTGAAACATTAAAATTCAACTTTATTTTTATCTTTTATTTATATATCTTTTAGTTATATCTTTATTGGTTTCAAGGAAGTAGTCTAGTTTCCGTTTCGCACGTGCCCTTAGACGGAAGCTAAGTATAAGGGAGGGAGGTGAAGCAATTCGTAGGCTACTCTTCTGCTCCCTCTTTACCGGGGTAGTGTTTGACAACATCCAAGGATACCAACATATTTCAAGAGGGGAATTGATAAGCTCTAAATAGAGGGTGAATTCATGTTCTACACCTGAACTTGCGATGTAAACTCGAAAGAACCCCCATAGAGCCCATCTAAACACGCGGGATACTGTCTTGGTGAGGAGAAAGCTGAGGAGCAACTTGTCGCGTGGTCCCCCCCTCCTCCACATCAAGCGTTTACCGTTTTAAATATTTCTGCGTAGGATCATCATTATGACATGGAGGGTTAGAGTGGTCCGGCTTCAAGATATTGTATCCTCACTAACGCATATCACGCAAATCATTGGGGATGCAGCGTTGCTAAACAACCAAGCTCCCAAGGACCCGTGATTTAGCCACGTTTCAATCCTTTAGTGTGTCGCCCATTTAGTTCGAGTCCGTTGGACGATTGAATTTTGAGTGAATTGATGTGTGGAGCTATTAAAATCCACTTATTTCAAGGGATGGTGCTCATTGACTCTAAATCTGTTCTTGGGGGGGGGTATATTTTGTGGCAAACGACTGCTATTTTTCAAGCTGTCGAAAAGCTTCCATAAATCCTTATAGTTTGTTCTGTCTGTAGCTATGCTTTGTAGGTGGTGTATAGTAAAAATATTCAAAGGTGATGAGTGCAGACGTACCCCCTCCCGCGAGGAGTCCTGTCAACGTTTGATGATAGCGCTCGCGCGAACAGGAAAAATAACTTATCAGTTAAAATTCTCCGGCCCCCAATTTCTCAGTTACATACCCCTCGCTTAACGCCATTCTCCAGCGACGAACAATGTCCTGCCTGGATACTTATGTCTTTTCATGAAGGAATTGGAACTATGCTAATTGCTTCGTCTTGTTGGTTTTGTTGGCAAAGAGAAGGCTGAGTTAATACCTTACGTCAGCGTGCGCCACCGTTTTCGCCTACGATTTGAGCTTTCCGAGAAAATTCCCACGAAAACGCTTACTATCTTGCTGGCTTATGCTGGAAACCAGCTAGATGATCCATACTTTCTTACGCTTGGCGCAGAGAAAAAGACGTATGAACGCATCTGGGGCTTCCGTTCTCACATGGCTTATTCCGGTAGAATATTCTCTTTTTGAAGTCATTTCAACAGGCCTTCTGCGATCTTGCATAGGTCTTCTCTTTTATGCCGCAATAATTCAGACCGGTTCAATATACCTGGGCGTTTGCTACAGGGTACGTAAGGCCTTGGAACTTCTGCAGACGTTTAGATCTGTTCTAAGGCGCAGTTCGGCTTGATAGGGGCATTTTGCCAGTTCGATCAATACCGATACATCCTGTGGAGACTCGTAACCTCGTAATAACTAGACTTCGTTTCCATTGACAAGGGTGCACAGGTTTACGAAGATGGAACGTGTAAGTTAACACGAACTAGTCAAAGTAATGGACTTAGACAATCGCCATCCCCCCTCCCCGCCACGCTAAAAGCCGAGCCACGCCTCACTATATACGTGTTCAAGGAAACGCTTATTACCCCTCTCATGGGATGAACGAGCTTGGATTGTAAGAAATAAATTGGCGTAAAAATAGAAGGATCTACATTTTGTGGCTTTAAAGGCAGTTGGCACGGTAAATCCCTGAAGACGAGAAGGATTGATACGCCTGCAGGGCGGATTTCCGCGACCCTGAGCAAACGCTGCGTAGCGGTTTTTCCTAGGGAGGTACCCTTATAAGGGTCCTATCAAGCTACAACATTCCGACCCATGAACGCACAGCCACTCCCGCCCGCCACAAAAATGGACGAAACGTACCTTGATGCCGTATGGCTTCAATTGTGCTAAGTTAAAATAATGGAATAAAGGATCGTATGATGCGCTAGGCGGTGTAAATGATATATGAGTACACTACTGCAAACGCACCGCTATCGTAAGCGGTTATTGGCAACTATGGATCCAAAGGGGAAGACTCGTACAAAAATGATTTTTGAGTCATTGAGAAGCATCTTTTTCTTCGCAGGGTTTTTGACCGTTCACCCCGTTTCTATCGGCGCATTTTTCCTACTATTTAGTGCCCCTGTCTAGCATTTTAGGCCCGAAGTACCAAATTAATCAGTACTGCACTGGCCTTAAATGAGTTCCTTGCGCAAAATTAGGGGTAATCGTAGTCCGACGAAATGCTGTACAGTCTTGTTCGCTGCGGATGCTAAGACGTGTGAGGGAGAGGACGGCTTGTGTGACGCACCTCGTCCATACCAAGTGTTGTGCAAGCGTGCCAGCCGCTTCAGCGATGTTGTGAGAGAACGGGCTTTTGCCGTGCCAATCCCTTACCGTCTTCTGACAGCCCGCAGCGTTGGCAGCAAACACGACTACTAGACTGGATTTCCCTGGTGGATAGGACTAAACTTCGTTCGTTCCCTCTCTTAACTTCATCATTATTATACTAATTTCCATGTTATTACGATGCCGAAAGAAAGGCAGCGAATTCTCCAATAGAAAGAAGGTGTGAACTGACTGACCGTGAAGACGGTCCAGCCTCTGGTGAACTGACTGATGTTGAACGAAGGTCGAGCTCTGATGAAAGCGAGTGGAAGGAGAACAGAAAGCGAAAATATGCCGAGATTTCGGAGGAATCCGATAGAGAAGGTAAAGCTGTGACTTTATCGTCAAGGCTTTGTTTTCATCCTTTTTCTCCTATCTATTAAAAGATCTGATTTTTCAGTTGTCCCAGAACGGAAAAGAAAAAAGAAAAGTAAAAAGCATAAGAAGGAAAAGAAACACAAGAAAGAGAAGAAGCGCAAAAGGGAAAAGTCAGAGCATTGTGAGTTTTTTTTACATTTGTTATATACCATTTTCATTTCAAATCAGGTGTTTTTCAAAGCAGAATGGACACTTTTTCACATCAGATCGGGCACACTTCACGTTGGGTAGTTGAGTAAAAATCAGCCTAGGTATTCCTCAAAGCCCACCCGACATCCCCGCCCACTTCCAAGCGCGGCCACGGTTTCCCAAGGTGTTTTGTGGACTCTTCTGCTTTGACTTTTTCGCACTTTTGTTTTGCATACGCACTCTAAGTGGAAAGGACTGGTACAGATACGATTCCCCCAGTTTTGAAATCCGAGCTGAGGTGATGGTTACGCTCGTCATTGGAACTTCCTCGGCCCGATTTTTCGCTCCCGGGGATAGGGGAGACCACAGCCTGTTCGGGCTCTAGCCTACCAATTTGGATCATTTTTCAAAAGAGAACGGAGCTTCAGTAAAGTGGGTGGGCTTCTAATTGTGGGCGAAGCTACCTGTTACGGTTTAAAAATGCGAAAATTATGGAAAATTTGTTAATTGTTAAAGTGCCAAAATTGTTAAAGTACCACAAAAGGCGCAAAAGTGGGCAGAGTCATAGGGGCGGGGAGGGGGTACCAGTGAACAGATGAACATCTGTGTGTAAACTCTTTTAAGAAGAAAGAATGTGAAAAGAAAAAAAAACTTTTTAGAAGAAAGAATGTGAAAAGAAAAAAAACTCTTTTTAGAAGAAAGAAGTGAAAAGAATGGTCCCTAAGAAAGCTATAAAAATTCAAAACTTGCGATAACTTTATTTAAAAGTGGGCGGGGTTGCATCTGTGAAGGTACCGATCCTTCGAGTGCGTGTGTGCGTGCGTGCGGCGTGTGTGTCCGTGTCCGCGCTCAATTTGATGTGAAAATATCGTTTTGGTTTGAAAAAAGTCCGAATTGGAATGAAAGTTGGTGGTATCCAATTATTAGGAGTTATTGCTAATTTGGTAATTCTATTTTAGCGAAGCGACGGTTCGTTGAAAAGGCTCCTGAAGAGCCGGAAATGAGTGACCCGGGAAGGCTGTCGGATACTGACGTTGAGATGAAGCAAAGAGATGAATCAGACGTTGAGTTGAAGCAAAGAGATGAATCTGACGTCGAGACGAAGCAAAGAAATGAGTCTGACGTTGAGACTGAGCAAAGAGGTGTGTCTGACGTCGAGACGATGCAAAGAAATGAGTCTGATGTGGAAACGAAGCAGAGGGACGATGATGAAATTACCAGCCACGGTCGCAGTAAGGAGAATAGCGATGATGACGAGAAGCTCTGTGATCGCGATGAAGCTAGATATAAGAAGGATATCACAGGCTATGGTCGCAGTAAGCGGGATAGCGGTAATGGAGAGAAATGCTTTGATCGCGAAGAAGCCAGATCTAAGAAGGATGTCGCAAACCATGGTTGCAATAAGGAGGATAGTAGTGATGAAGAAAAATTCCATGATCGCGAAGAGGGTACATACAAGGAGGATAGCACTAGCCATAGTCGCAGTAAAGAGAATAGCGGTGATGAAGAGAAATTCTATGATCGCGAGGAAGCTAGATCTAAGAAGGATGATGAAAAGAAAGAAAGTAAAAAGAAAAGAAACGTTAGTTTGGAGCGAAGCGATAGTAAAGTTTCCCTGAAAGATCGAGGATCTGATAGAAAGGAAGACAAGAAAGAAAATCTACCCGAACGTATTCGAGAAAAGGACGGTAATGGCAAGGAAAGGAGAAGCCGCGAAGAAATTAAAGATCGAAATGATGATAAACGCAGGGATCGAAGTGATCGCGGACGATCCAGATCGAGAGATAGACGAGACGACAAGCGATCATCTGCTGTGAGCAATTTTCATATTTACCGATTTTGTTTCCTTAAATAGCGTCTTTTCTTTTAGTGATCCATACCAGGACGCGCGCGGTTGCGGCGCGACCATTGCGATGCAGTCCCATTGTGGTTGTGTGAAGAAAAATATTTTCGGGTCTCTTCCCGTTGGAGACCGAAAGAGAGACGAATGTGGTGTAGGATCTTGTATCGGCTTCACTCCAGGCCAACCAAGCCTTCCCCACTGGAGGCGGTGAATTAGTTGCAGATTAGTCGGGGAGGGAGCACATCGGCGCCCCCCCCCTGCGCAAATCTTTTGTACAGGCCACATCGCATTCAATAGCCTTCACGAACTGAATGTGCCGCACCCCCAAAGTCCATCAACGGCCAAGACTTTATCCTTTTCAGTTTCGCTCATGACTCTATCCTTTTTAATTTCGCCCATACTTTCAGAGGGAGCGAGAAGAACGTGAACGACGGGATCGAGACAGACGTCGTAGTTCCATAGAACGACGAAGAGAGAGGAGTCCTGACAGGTACAAGGAACACCGTAGCTCATCTCGCTCCTATAAAGACAGAAGAGATGATAGAAGGTGGGCGCTTTCCTACCGTCATTTGTACAACGAAATAACGATCTATTTATTTAATCAACTCGATGGAATGTTCAGGGGAGATTCATATCGTGATAAAGATAGGTATCGAGACAGATATCGTGGACGACGTAGTCGAACGCCTGAACACCGAAGACGTAGTGACAGGAAAGACAAGTCCAAAGATGACGTGAGTTCCTGCTTAGCTATTTTGGTTGAAAAACTCTTGGTTGCAAGGTGGATCAGTACGAAGTGTACGGACAGCTGTCTAGATGTTCAGTCCAAATTGCGCAGAAATGAAGCTGGAGAGTGGTGATATGGCATTCAAATTTCGCGATGACGCGCGTCGACGGTGCTCCAATACTATAGACCCGAAGCCGGTCGCGGACGGGAATCGATTGGCGCCGGCCGCTTGTGTTTTGAGAGAGTACAGAGGAGTAGGAGGTTACCAGTTTGTATGAAGGCACGCCTACCTGCTTTTTTTTTTCTCTCTCTCTCTCT